AAAGATTCATTGATTGAGAGGGAGCTTCCGCCTTTACTCACCAAATACCCCTTGATTCCTAGTGGTTTGACTTTCCTTTGTCGTGCTTAAATTCTCTTGTCAGAGGTCCAACTTTCAAATCACTACTATGATTGAATCTAGTGTTTGTCGAACTCCAAGAGTCACACACACACTTTTATCATGGGATCTTGCTTCATATAATGCATCACTTTCTTTCATGAGGAATATTCTACAGACTGTGCACATTGTGTTTACTAGTAATTGTGCTTCTTGGATAATCTTGTGTGTTTTAAGGTACAAATCTGAGATTTCTTACTTGCTCCACCATATATATTACGTTTTCTCTTGTTCACTGTTTCCAGTGTTGTGGTTGCTTTTAGTGAGGGGAGTTTGGTTCATCTACTTGGGTTGGTTTATGATCTTGCTTTGTTGTTTGAGAGTTGTTTTTCATGATCTTAGTTTCATCTATTCATTTCCATTCTATGTGTTCAAGATAATCGTGTCATATGTCTATTGCTTTTTCATATACTCTTGTGGACTAATAGTTGTCTTTGGAGATTGTGGCACTAATAACTGTTTTGCATATCATGACCTTGAGAAAGAAGTTGGGTTTTGTTGGCTGTAATGGGTTGGGGTGTTTAGGATTTTATTTGTTAGGTGTGTTTTGTCACGGCATTACCAAAGAGGGAGATTGTTAGATTTTATTCTTGGCAACCCCGTTTGACAAAACTCCTTTCAGTTGTATTTGTTTTCGCACCTTTTATTTCAGTGAGGCTATGAGTGTTTAAATGCGAATCCAACCCGAATCGTGCCTTTGTCAATTTTCATGGATCAAAACCGAGGTTGTAACAGGATCTAGTTTACCAAATTTTCCAATTTTGGTCATCCCGCTCGAGAGAGAAAAGTGACGCTCGAGCGCGGATTGCAAGCTCACAGCATCTCTGTTTCGCCTGAAAAAGGACTGGATGATGTGATTCGATGCTCGAGCATGGGGACGTCTGCTCGAGCGTGAAGCCTATATGAATCACACAATTTTGAAGCCTCCGCTCGAGCGGGAATTACCACGCTTGAGCGGACCACGCGAATACAGATTCTTGGATTTCTATAAGGAATTGGTTTTCTTCCAAAACTAGGATTACTTTGGTTTTCTATAAGTAGTTGGTTTTCTCCCAAAACTGAGATAAGTCCTCCAGATCTTCTTTTTGGATTCTAAGATTTATATCTGGGGATATTTTGCTAGTTTTCTTTGATGTTTTCATTGAGTATTCAACTCATGGTTTAAACAGTATACATCAAAGGATTATTTGTTTGTTCTACATAAAAGAGAGACTTGTTCTTCAGTGGATTCTGAAGAATTCGAGCCTGAAGCTTTGGTGGATTCCAGAGTGGCTCATCGTCAAGACAATTCCGAGGTGAAGACGGGGTTGGAAAAAGTACATAGAGGTTGGTTCAATTCGGGCGTGAATTCGCTAGGTAATTGAGAGTATACTTGTGTAATTCATTTATATCTTCTTAGTAGATTGTTTTGTGGCTGTTGCCCGTGATTTTTTATCACAATTGGAGGTGTCCAATTGTGATTTTTCCACGTTAAAATCGTTGTATCGATTTGTCATAATTGTTTGATTGTGATTGTTTTATTACTTAAAATGAATACATAATCACAAATCAACGTCTAGAGAATTTCTAGATTTTTCAATATATAGAATAATTCTTAAATTTTTGAAGATGATCCCAAATTATTTAATATAATAGTATATGATCCTATTGATTTCATTATTAACTAATATAAATTTATTGATGTTTCTTCCTATTATTTTTTTTCCTTAAAGTATATGTTAAAATTTCTTTTTTACTAAAAGATTTTTTTTGCTACACTTAATTTTGTCTCCCCTAAAATAAATTTTTGATTTCATCCAAACCAAACAAATTATGGTAGTGTTTGGTTTGTGTTTAGAATTATGATTTGAATGCAGAATTGTATTTTGAGTTGGTAACTTTTGGAATTATGATTTGAAAAGAGAAAATTTGTTTGGTTATAAGTTTTGAAAAAAGTTTTGAATTGAGTGTTGGATTTTTGAAATGAGTGTTGAGTTTATGAAAAGTTATTTGATTTATGAGTTTTGAAAAGAGTTTTTAGAACTTAATTAAAAAATTTATAACTCATAATCAAACACACAACTCAAAACTCTATTAAAAGTTTTATTCAAAACTCATAACCAAACTTTTTTTAAAACTCAATTTACAAAAAATAATTATTGAAAAAAATAATTTTTTTATTTAAAAATTTTTTAAAAAATTCAAAAATATTTTTTATTTAAAATATTACAGAAATATCATTATTTGTTAACAAAAATATTCAGTTAGTGCTTTAAAATTACTTTTAATTGTATATTTGGTTGGAAATTTTACTTTAATTGTTTTGTTTAAAAATATATATTTTTTTAAAAAAATTACTGTGACAAATTAATTTTTATTTGAAATTTGTTTTTGTTAATTTTAAATAAATGTCCAAATAATTTGTCATTTTGGTCTCAAAAAAATATTTTGTATATTTTAAAAATATCAAAAACAAATATAATTTTTTTTTCAAATAATAGGTGCCAATTGCTATATACTATATATTTAAAAAAAAAAAAAAAAAAACTGTTCCAATCAACCTGCCGAATGTCCGGGGAGACGACCGAGTAGACCAAAAAATCCAAAAACTGTCTTATCCGTGCAGACGACCAGATAGATCAAAAATCAAAAACTCTCTAATTTACCAAATATGTTTTCAAAATGTGTTTTGAAATTGATTTGAAATCATGATTTGAAAACTGTAATCAAATAGAGAGTTGATTATTAGTGTAGAATCATGGTTTGAAAATCAAACCAAACACAGCTTATAATTATTAGGTAAAAGATGTGATTCAACTATCAAATTTTGTTATCTACTTAAATATTATGTTTAATTATTAATTTGTAATTCATTCAAAGACTTAGAGAAAGGAGTACCTTTTGTTTTGTTTTTTTTTCTTCTTATTATCACCGACAGACTCTGCTAAAAATATGTGAAGAAATTTCTTCGAAAGGCAAAGGTGGTTTCCCATGACAGACTCTGCTAAAAAGATGTGAAGAAATTTCTTTGAAAGGCAAAGGTGGTTTCCCATGAGACTGAGAATAGCTTACAAAGAAGTTACTTGTAGTCTCTATAGTCTTGACTCGCATTTTTGTGTAACACTATAAATTGTAATAAAGTGTAGGTTGATTTGAAAAGTGGTTTTTATAATAGTTTATTTTTTGAGACATTTACACATAAATTTTAATTTATGAATTTATACTTCATTAAATATTAACTAAGATTTTTTAGACTTTCAAATTTTATTAAATTTTTGACAGTCAAAATTACATTTCAAACAATAATTGTTCGTCATTTATAATTATCTATAAAGGAACATGTTAATTTGATTTTTTTTTATTTTTAAAACTTTAAAACATTAACATTCAAATTGAAAATTTAAAAAAAATAATTTATGTACAAAATTTTTTTTTTGTTTTTTTGAAAATATTGAATTATTTTTTTTGTGCAAAACTAAAAATTTTGTATCTATAAAGGAGTATGATGATAGAATATTGATGTGCAAAACTGGGAAAAAAAACTTTAAAAATGAAAAAAAAAACTAACAATGTTATTAGTTTTAAAAATGAATTTTTTTTTGATAATATTCTCGATTTTATTAGATAATTGAATCAAACCAATAAGTAAAAAGACAACAACGTTTAATCTCATATTCTGTTTTTTTATTAGTTAGTGAAACAATTATTTAGGATATTACTATAAAAAATTGATAATATTCTTAGTTTTACAAATTAGAAAAAACTGATAATATTCTTATTTTTACTAAATACGACTTATTGGTTTAAAAAATCTTAGATAAGATCTGAGTTACCATAACATTTGTAAATTGAACTTTTAGGTAATTAATTTTTTTTATTATTAAAATATTAGATAAAAAAATTAAAATATTTAAAAATCCTATTTTTATTTTTTATAAAAAAAATATGTAAAAAAAATAAAGATAATGAGAATTTTTTAATTTTTTTATGACTTTTTGATATATTTAATATATACATATATTTTAAAATTTTTAACTAGTTATCAAACAAGTTTGCGTACATCATAAAAGTTTATAAATTTAGAAAAAGTGATGAATTTACATAGAATTTCAAATAAATCTTAGATATTTAACTTTGTTGTGAGACCTAATCATAAATAAATTTGAGCTTTTCATTACAAATTCCGATTTGGCTTGTTTGGTTTGGAATTTTAGGATTAATTTTTCAAAAAATTTAATTTTTTATTTTTCGTATATTTTTTTTTTTATTTTTACTGAATTTTTTTTAATATTCTAAGTAATTTTTTTATTTTTATTTTTGAATACACTAAACATAAATCTACTTAAAAAAATATTTAAAAAATTCACTAAATACTAAAAATATTAAAAAAATATGAGAATTCAATACATTTTTGTATTTTTGTATATTTATTAATTTTTTAAAATATTTTTTACAAATACTTTACTTTTTATATACATCTTGATAAGGTGCATCTAAAAAAATTTTAAAAAAATATTTAAAATTTTAAAAATATTTACTAAAAGTAAAAATATAATTAAAATTAAAAAACTCAAATTTTTAAAAATTAAATTCAAAAAATTAATACCAAAATTAGTTTTTTGAAAATTCTAGAGACATGCTGAATTTTTACTGTTGCTAGTCTTTCCCACTTTGCATCACGCTCAAACTTTACTTTTTCTTTTTCTGTTCTTTCTTTATCAGGAACTTACTTTTAGGAGCAAGGTTCCTCTAGAGTGATTTTTTTTTAAAGTTTTCTAAAGTGTTATAGTGTATGGTTGAGATTTATTGGCAAGTCACATCAATTTTTCTGATGTGACTTGCCAATAAATCTCAACCACACAATATAACACTTTAAAAAATTTTAGAAAAATTCCACTCAAAAATCCACTCTCAAATTTTCCTTTGCCGATGATGGTCATGGAGATTGAAGCATCTGCACACACTTAGATTTCCATTTCATAACAAGGTACGTACATATGATAGAAAAGAGTATACTTTAAAAACTTTGGATTCGGCTTTTCTCTCTGATAATTGTTTATTTGCATGGATTAATGATTGTTTAAGAGCCACATAAATATATTTTAATTTTAAAATCAGAAACAATTAACATAACAAATATCAATCTTTGGATTTATGATCTCCATTCCTATCATGTCAATCCAAAGAGTCCCCAACAGTGTTCTCTTATTTTATTGCCATTAATAAAATATTTTGTACCCAGCAAAATAAAAACTATTTTCTTCATTCTACCACAGCAATTCTGTGAGATCTGGTCTGTGTGATTTCATGTTCAATTTATTTTTTATTCTATTTGTCTGTGGTTGAAGATTATTAGCGTTTTGGGAGCTTAGTTTAGATGATTTTTAAGAATATGTATGTATGTATGTATGACTGTATGTACATTTTGTTCTTGATGAAACTTGTAAGTTATGAAGTTTTTGCTTCATTGACTTTGAAGGGAAAAGCTTGTGTTTGTTCATTAATCAGACATAGGTTATGCTCTTAATATTGAAATGAAGTATTGATCATGGTTTAATTGTTTTCAATTGCTTCCCTTATGTTGTCCTCTGCAATGGTTTAGTTTCAATTTTCTGTCTTCAACAGTTTCAAGTTCCAAAAGGCCATGATTTTAAGCCCCCTCTTAAGAAAATACCAAAATATTTTCTCTTACCGTTAGGAATCAGACTACAAAAATTTAGTCATCTCCTTCTTTAACGATCACAGATCACTTGTTTGCTTCCACCACTACTGCCAAATTAATATTACAATATGTATTTGTGGAATAAAATTGTAATATTTTCGATTAGAAAGTGTTATTTGTAAGAATTTTACTTCTTTTAACCCTTATGTTTTTTTTTTTTTCCCAAAGGTAAGAATCTTTTGAAATATATACAAGCCACCTACAAGGAAGAAGTATACAAGGCTATCCCTTGTTCCTCAAACAAAAGCACCAGTCTACAAACTTTCATTCATCTTTGAGCTTCACGCATGGCTGCTTCTTGGGCAAACGAAGCCTCTTCCTCTTCCTCCACTGCACAACGCAAATATGATGTCTTCCTGAGTTTCAGTGGCATTGATACTCGCTTAAAATTTACCAGTCATCTGTTCTCTGCTTTAGAGCGACATGGTTTTTACACATTTAGAGACGACACAAAGCTCAACAAAGGAGAACATATTGGTTCTGAACTACTAAAAGCAATTGAGGAATCTAGTATTTCAATTATTGTGTTCTCAAAAAATTATGCAATGTCGAGGTGGTGTCTGGATGAACTTGTGCAGATCATGAAGTGCAGGAAGACATGTAATCAGATTATTCTGCCTATTTTTTATGATGTTGATCCATCTGACGTGCGGGGGCAGAAGGGGAGCCTTGCAGAAGCATTTGCCAAGCATGAAGAACATTTTAGAAAGAGTTTAGATTGCAAGGTGGAGAAGTGGAGGGCAGCTCTTACTGAGGCTGCTAATTTGTCTGGTTGGGACTTGAAGAACGTGTACAACGGGTATTTTCCTCAATCCTCTTAATGTTTGCTTTTAAAATAATCCAAAACAACACAAATTAGGAACAATTTCATTTGGATGTATAGGTAGAATCTTAATTGTAGTTACAAGGCTATATTTAGAATCATTTACGTTATTCATAAAAATAAATCGAAACTAGTTTGTCCATCAAATTTCTAATGCCATAGCACCAGATGCGTGAATTTGCTAAATACTTACTTTTGTTTTTTAACTTTGCTCAAATTGGCAGAGATGAAGCGAAGTTAATTGCTAAAATCATTGAGGAAGTTGGAAATGTAATAGATCTTGAACATCTAAGTGTTGCAGACCACCCGGTTGGACTAGAGGATCGTGTGCAGAAACTCAGAATGTTGTTGCGCATGGAGTCAAATGATAATGTCGTTCGCATTGTTGCAGTATGGGGGATTGGTGGACTAGGGAAGACAACAATAGCTAAAAATCTGTATAAACTCATCCACCGTAGATTTGATGGTAGCAGCTTTCTTGCAAATGTCAGAGAAACTTGGAAGAAATCAAATGGTCTGTTAAAATTACAAGAACAACTTCTTTCCGATATATTCAAAAATGAAATTCATCACATCAGAAATATTCACCAAGGAAAAGAGGTCATAATACGGAGAGCGTTGCATCGTAAGGTTCTACTTGTTTTGGATGACGTGGATGACATTAAACAATTGAAGGAATTAGCCATAGATCGAGCTTATTTTGGTTATGGAAGTAGAATCATCATAACAACGAGAGATTTGTCTTCATTAAATTTTGAAGTGGACGAGATATATACACCAGAGGAGTTGGATGAGGACAAATCTTTTCAACTCTTCAGTTGGCATGCCTTTAAGGAAGACCATCCCATAGAAAACTATGTGAAACTTTCAAAACAAGTTGTGGACTATGCTAAAGGGCTTCCATTAGCTCTTGAAATTTTGGGTTGCTTTTTGTCTCGCATCAGAAGCATACCGGAATGGGAAAGTGTAATAGAAAAATTGAAAAAAATTCCTCATAAAGGCATTCAAGAAAAACTTGAAATAAGTTACAATACGTTAAGTAAAGAAGTGAAGGAGTTAATCCCATAGAAAACTATGTGAAACTTTCAAAACAAGTTGTGGACTATGCTAAAGGGCTTCCATTAGCTCTTGAAATTTTGGGTTGCTTTTTGTCTCGCATCAGAAGCATACCGGAATGGGAAAGTGTAATAGAAAAATTGAAAAAAATTCCTCATGAAGGCATTCAAGAAAAACTTGAAATAAGTTACAATTCGTTAAGTAAAGAAGTGAAGGAGTTATTCTTGGATATAGCTTGTTTCTTTGTTGGAATGGATCGAAATTTTATAATCAAAATATTAAAAGGCTGTAAATTATTCCCTGAAATTGGGTTGAGAATTCTGTTTGATCGTTGTCTCATAAAATATGGGCCTGGGAACAAGCTTGTGATGCATGATATGATTAGAGACATGGGCAGAGAAATCGTCAAGAAAGAATCTAATGATGAGCCTGGAAGGCGTAGTAGATTGTGGCATCATGAAGATGTTCTCGAAGTGTTGAGATATGGCACGGTGAGAACCATAAGCATGAACTTCCAATTAATATTTGATGCTTAATTCTTGCAATAATTTCACATGCATATGCACATTCGTAATTCTGACAATTAACTACAAATATATACTTGGCATTATGTTTTGTTTTCCAACTAATGTAATTTTTTTGTGCCATGGGTTTTCTTATTAGGGTACTGAAGTAGTTAAGGGCCTCTTCCTGAACTTTCCCGAGTCAAAAGAAGTCCAAGTGAATGCGAAGGCCTTTGAAAATATGAACAAATTGTGGCTTCTTCATCTCGATTACGTTCACCTAAGTTCAGGTTTTTATCATATTTTTAGAAGGCTATTATGGCTAAGTTGGAATGGTTGTCCGTTGGTATGGTTGCCATCGAAATTATACATAGATAAGTTGGTTGCTCTTGACTTGCGTCATAGCAAACTGAAACGAGTTTGGAAGGGAACCAAGGTACAATATTATTTCTTTACATTTCATACATCAATCGTATTGTACTGATGTGGAAAATAATTTTTCTCATTGTGTTTTTGACAGGATCGTAATAATCTGAAATTCCTTTATCTCAGTCATTGTTATTACCTAATTGAAACCCCGAACTTCTCTGGACTCAACAATCTTGAGGAACTATTGATTGATAACTGCATAAGGTTGGTAGAGATTGACGAATCTATTGGATGTCTCAACAAACTTATTGTCCTAGACATGGCAAATTGTAAAAAACTTGGGAAGTTTCCTTCAAGGATTTGGATGTTGAAATCTCTTGAGTATCTTGATCTCTCGGGCTGCTCCAAACTAAGAGAATTTGCTGGATTTAAAGGATCACTATCAAAATCAGCGTACACATTTTTCTCATCTTGGGCATTGCCAAGAAAGAACGTGGATTCCATTGGTTTTTCACTACAGGGTTTAAGAAGTTTGAAGACATTGAAGATAGCCAATATGTCATATCTGCCCAGTGAAATTGGGAGTTTGGTCACATTAACACATTTGGATCTTAGTGGAAACAAGTTCTTGTGTACGTTACCGGATAGCATCTATAATCTTACTCGCTTGTAGAGATTGGATATGGAAAATTGCAATGTATCATGTCTGTCTAGTGATATTGGGAATTTGATCTCATTAACACATTTGGATCTTAATGGTAACAATTTGTGTACCTTACCGGATAGCATCGGTAACCTTACTCGCTTGCAGATATTGAACATGGCATATTGCAATGTATCATATCTGTCTAGTGAAATTGGGAATTTGATCTCATTAACAGATTTGGATCTTAGAGGAAACGATTTGTGTGCCTTACCGGATAGCATCGGTAACCTTACTCGCTTGCAATCATTGAAGATGGTAGGATGCAATGTATCACATTTGCCCAGTGAAATTGGGAGTTTAATCTCATTAAGAGATTTGAATCTTGTAGAAAATAATTTGCGTTCCTTACCGGATAGCATCGGTAACCTTACTTGCTTGACATTTTTGGCGATATCAAATTGCAATGTATCATATTTACCCAGTGAAATTGGGAGTTTGATCTCATTAACAGGTTTGTTTCTTGATGGAAACAATTTTTGTACACTTCCGGATAGCATCGGTAACCTTACTCGCTTGGTTTGTTTGCATATGACAAATTGCAATGTATCATATTTACCCAGTGAAATTGGGAGTTTGATCTCATTAGCAAATTTGGTTCTTGATGGAAACAATCTGTGTACACTTCCGGATAGCGTCGGCAAGCTTTATCGCTTGATTGGGCTAAGTATGAACAATTGCAATTTGTCACATATGCCCAGTGCAATTTGGAGGTTGATGGGGCTCTCATTAGAATACTTGTATCTTAAAGGCTGCCATAAATCAGCCGAGAGCAATTTTGTATATAATGTCATGAAAGCAGCCATCTGGCAGGTTCAGGTATTCTCTCTCTCTCATTGGTACAATAAATCATTCTTCAAGAACCATAATCAATCCCTACTTATTCTAAATTAATACAATTGCTAATGTCTCATTCATCTAAGGCTTTGTTTGGATCTTGAATTTGTGGAGGGGGAAACAAAGAGAAAAGGGAAAATTGCTTTTTCTTTTATTTTTCCCCTTCACTTTGGCTTTCTATTTCTTTTTCCTGATGTCAAATTGGATTTTATTTTTTATTGCATATCTTAGTAAGAAAAAGAGATTTAGGACGTACTTTGACTAATGCACCATTTATTGGAACAGGATTATCGTATGTTCCATCCGATCCATGGTTTTGTAAATCATTCTAGTATCCATCTTACATGGGGTGAGGTTCCCAGATGGTTCGAGTACCAAACTGAAGGATCATCTTTATCTGTCAAGGTGCCGCCCCTTGTAAATCAAAAAATATGGAGCTTGGCTGTATGCGTAATTTACATTGGATCCAATTCCAATGAAAAATGCAATCAAAAAGGTTTTTTTTTTCTTGAATACCATATAAACAAAGTCCAGAGGAGATCATATTTAATTGGTGATCGCGGTGATGGTTTATGTAGAGAAGACCAGATGTTCCTCAAATTTACGTCAATGAGTGAATTAGAAGGCGGTGATGAAGTGGAGATCTTCATAACAAAGTGTTGGCATATACAGGTAAAAAAGTGTGCGGCTAAATTAATTTTTGAGGTTGATGAAGATACGGATGATGAAGCATAGGCCGACTACATCTCATCACCTTCCCCGAGTGCCATTCAAGAAGAAGAGGAAGAAGTTGATTATCCAACCGAAAGAAGAAGTTGATTCAACAGATTAATAATAAAACTTAAAGCATTGGAAGCAAACGGTATGTATAAACTTTTTTGCAAGAGGTATCAAATCCATACGCCTCATTTGGAAAATTGATTATTTTAATAGGTTATTTTAATTTTTAATTATTTAGGTTAAAATATTTGGCCTTGTTTGGTTTGTTTTTGAAAAATAAATTTTAGAGAAATTTTTTTAAAATTTTGTTTGGTTTAGTGATTTTGGAAAAAAAATTCAAAATTACTTTCTATTTCATACACATCAATCAATCACTTTTTCTCTTTTCTCTTTCCTTGTCAATTACTTTTTCTCTCACACACATCTACTCAACTACAACAAAATATCAAATCATCATAAACTCCCACACTCCAAAACAATTTTCAAAATATACAACCAAACAAACAAAAAAAAAAATTCTAAACTCTTTTTCCAAATTTTTTAAAATCAAACTAAACACACCCTTTGTGTTTGGAAAGATGGTTGATTTTTTTTGCAGTTAGATATGATGATTGTGAGAGAAAAAATAAAATAATTATTGATGATAAGATATGATGAGTGTGAGAGAAAAAATAAAATAATTATTGATTTGATGTAATATTTTGTCTTATTTGCTATTTTAACCTGTTTTGATTTTTTGTGGATTTTAGCCCAAAATGCAAAAAAAACCTTTGCCAAACAAGGCTAGGGGATTGCTATTTTAGACTAAAAATTAGATCTAATTTTCAACTTAATGATGTAGTGAATAATACGAATATCTTAAGCAATTCTCTCTCATATTTTCTTTAATCATCAACAAATCATTTCACTTATACGTCACTCGGTCCATAAATTAGATCCAAAACGTTAGCCTATATATCATATTTCAAAAAAAAAAAATTTTTTGGAGCAATGTTACAAAATTTTCTACCAAATTTTATATCAAACTCTTACATTGGTAGAAAATTGGAGTGTCTTGGCATTTTTTATACTTGAAAAATGTAATTTTTTTCTTCAACAAAAAATACTACATATAATTATATTTCTTACTTCTATTTCTCATTCTCCAATACATAAGTGAATAGGTTTCATATGCATTTATGAATATGAACCCCATTATTTTGTGGTTACGAATGAGAAATATAGATAAAAAATAAAATTATACATAGTATTACTCTTTTGCAAATAATTTTTGTATATAATCTTCATAAGTAATTATCTTTTTTTTTTATATATTTTTTTTAGCTTTTCAGTCAAACAAAAAATAATGGTAAATTGCACTGACCTTCCCTGAGGTTTAGAGAACATATTCCACAATTTTGGCATAATTACATTAAGCTTCTTTAAAGTTGTATGTCATATAACACTTAGCCCCATTTTTATCAATAATTTTATAGTCATGTGGATGGAAAATGATATTGTCAATATCTTTTACACTGAATTATATATTTTTCTTTATTTATCCTGCGTGTCTTCACAATATTTATATTAGTTTTGATCATTTTAATCTTACTAAACGAGAAATAAGTGTACCTGTGACAAAACTATAAAGCTAGTTGTATTTCTCCAAATCAAAGGGAAGATTAGTGTAATTTACCAAAAAAAATAAATAAAATCCCACCCCAGTAGCTCATAATTTTAATAATACCATCATCACATAATTTGGAGTAATTTTTTTTTATAAGAAATTAAAATTAAATAAATTAATCTTATATAAAAGTTATACAGAAACTCCACTAGAATGATGTGTTATTTTACAATTAAAAATCATCTTAATAAGTGTTTGGATATATTATTGCTGTCTCAATCTGAATTTGTGAGATTTTGTCTTTCCTCTACCACAGTCTCCTTTGTTATCTCTCTCATTCTCTCCTACATATTGTGATTCATACTTTTTTTTCCCCTTGAGTTGCATTTGGATCAAAGATTTGAAAAGAAATTAATGAATGGAAAAGAAAAATAATGGGGAAAATGAAGAAATAGAGCTTCGTCTTCTTTTTCTTTTTCCTTTCCATTCCCTTCACAAATCATTGATCCAAACGCAGCCTAAAAATTTGTTTCAGCAGCTAGCAGGGGCACAAAGATTTGAAGGTGGTCGTAGCTCTCCATTGCTTTTCGATGTCTGTTATAATGCTCGAAGTCTGATGTCTGTTATAATGCTCGAAGGCTGCATTGTTGTAGGATCAGTCTTTTGCAACGTCGAGATCTACAAAAAAAAAAAAAAAAAAAAAAGAAAAAGAAAAAGAAAAAGAAAAAGAAAAAAAAAAAGAAAAAAAAAATATGGAAAAAAAAAAAAAAAAAAAAAAATAAAAGATAAGAGGGTTTAGGGGTCAAACAAGATTAATGCTTGAGAACCTTAAAATATGTGACCCCTATGACTCTCAATTGATTGGTGACCACTCATTATGTATTTTTTTTTTTTTTCCCTTTCTCTCTTTTACAGGTGTGTAAAAGTTGTGGGAGTTGAATTTTGTGAAAGTCTATATCAAAACCGATCAAACAAATACAAAAGCCTACTATGAGCTGATTGAGGGTAGTATGAACCTTAAAGAATTGCCCATCCCTGTTAATATATTGAGAGATAGGCCATTAAGGTGTCACCATAAGCTCTGTTTGGATCAATGTGTAGGCCATGCCATGTTGCTCTTTGAAGTTATATACATGTCATTTTACGGAGATGTACCATATGTATCTTGTTACGTATTTTTATAATAAATATTATATATTTTTGTAATAAATGTTACTTATTTTTTTGGTAGGAGTTGCAATAATTTGTGGTTTAAAAATGAAATTATCCATTTTGTGATAGTGTTACGTATTTTTGTGGTAACATTATATATTTTTTTATCCTCACATTTTCTAACTACAAAATGTGTAGCAATACCATAAAAATACGTAACATTAACAAAAAAATGTGTAATTTCATTTATGAACTACAAAAAAATATAATATTTACCACAAAAAATAACATATAATAAGATGCACACACCATAAAATTTCCAGTCATTCTATATAAAATCATTCATCTTTGGAGCAACATACAAAGTTGAATTGTAGTCATGTCTGCCCATTTATTAGGTAAGAGTAAAATGTGTTTCCAAGCTTCAAACATGTAAAGAAAAGTTATTATGAAACAAGAATTAAAAGAAGAGTATAGGGTAAGATAATAAATAATCATATTTGTGCAAATGTTTCATTATCAAGTATTTATACATGTGTATATAAATTTGAGGTTTATAAGGTGACTCTCAATTCTTAAATATTTTGGTTCTCTTGTTCCGGCCAAAATTTTGATTCATAATAATCAGATTAAGGAGATAAAAACATCTATAACACAAAATTATGTGCTGACTAAAATGCTATTATCCGGGCTTAAATCATACATTGGAGTAATTTTAATGTTGAATTCTTGCATTACTGCAAATCAGAACTGAGAAACACAATATCAAACATCTTTAATTGCTCATCAGAATCATCAGTATAACTTGCCAATTGCTTGTTAGTCCGACCATCATCTGCATTATCGCCATTCCCTCGATGATGAGTTTTCTTCTCCCTTGACCCAATCGGTGAATGGTCCCTCCTATTCTTCTCTTCCTGCGCCACAACCTTCGAGTTCTTCTCCTTCATCTCCAAACCATAGTTCTTTTATTTTTTATTTGGGACCAACTAGAGATATTTAAAAATAGAGAACCAGCTTAGAGACAATTCTCTTTTAATACTTTTTTTTTAATAAAAAAAATTATACAATAGGAGCATAAAAAACCATGGACTTTAAAATCTATTATATATATTATAAAATATTGTTAGGTCTTTTAAGTTCACAAAATATCTGTAGAAGGTTTTCAAAATTTTGAATTTATAAAATGTTAAAAAAAATGAAAATCATTGGTTTTCTAATTAATTTGGAAATATAAACAAATATATGTTTTAATTTTATAAATATAAAAATACATGTTTCAACAATTATGGCTAAGATTTTCAAAATTCCTGTACAATTTAAAATCTTAAGAATGTCTCACAAAATTAGTAGATTTTTGTAAGTTTCCTGACTTCAATAATACTACTACCAATCTAAATTTTAAAATTATTTTTAGAATACTGTTCAATTAAAAAGTTGACAAGAACAAATGATCCACAATTTGTTAACCTTTTATTTCAAGCCCAAATTGGATCCATTCATAAATGGCCCGTTTAGTGTCATCACTCTTTTTTATTTTTAATTAAAAAGCGTATTATTGGGTTAAATTAAAAATTAAAAAACGTATATTCTAAGGTTTCAACTTGGACAGATTAAGGGAGAAATTCTATTTAAACTCAAAATATGTCTTAGTACGCGTAATTTAAATTTGTAAATTTTAATTATTATTATATCCTAATATGAATTTACTAATAAGTATAACACATATTAAACCCTAAAATAATTTTTTTTTTCCTCATGGTATATCTTAATCCGTTATTCCTATTCAAATATTTGTATCTTCTTTCCTAAAAGATCAAAGTTATTTCTTCTTCCTCTTCTTCGTCCTCCCTCCAAAACTTTATTCCATCCTACCAAAACGCAGCATCATCATCAATATCATTGTTTTTTTATTATTTTAAAACCCTAAATCCTAAAAGAAAGTTTGAACAAAATCAAATAATACAAATAAATACACCATTTTAGTGTTCTTTCACAAATATTAGTTTTAAAAAATATATATATCAATTTAAAATAAATTAAAAGTAAGCTGCTACAAGTATAAAAACAAGAATTAGTAATTTAAAAACTAATTCAGTTCACATTAGGGCAAATAAATATTTTATGTATTTTATTTTACTTTCTATTTGTTTTGGCAAATGCGGCATAAGGGACAGAAGGCGAGTCAGTTCACATTGGACAGTCTTCTCAGGATGTGTTCTTCAAATTCCTTGCTTTCAAGAGGGGAACAAATTCATGCTCATGCCGTAAAGACCCAATTTGATGCGAATGCTTTTGTTAATATTTTCTGTATTTGAGAATTAGTAATTTAAATTTTTTTAGTTTGTTTATTATTTATTATTTGGATTTATCTGGAGGGTAATTTGAAAAAAATAATAAAGGGTAATGGGAATAAAATAAAATTTTAAATAATTAAATAGGATGTACTTAAAAATTTAGAATACTTCAAAAAAATTTGGATGTAAATAGAATCTCCCAATTAAGGGGTATGCACAAACTCAATTCGAAATCCCAACCCAAGCCTAATTTTGTCAAAAATTTTTGCCCAACCTATGTTTAACTAAAATAATTATGGCTTGGTTTGGTAGGCCAATTTTACACCCATGTCATGTGCTCATTTTTCGCATTCCTCTCTTTTCATATACAATCTTTGTTTATTATTATTATTTTTGGTACTAATAACATTAGGAATGGCAACGGACTGGGCCGGGCCGGGCCGGGGATCGCAATCCCCGTCCCCGATCCCCGAAGGTGAAATAATCCCCGTCGCCGCCCCCGATCCCCAACGGGAAACCCATCACTCCCCCTGCCCCCGCCCCTAACGGGGATCGGGTTTCCCCAACCCCAAAATATCCTCGATCCTTTTTTTTTTTATTTTTTTTATTTTGTTCAACACAACACAACAACACAACAAATTTTTTTTTATCTATTTTCAACAACAATCATCAACTATTTAATTTGTTTTCAACAACAATCATCATCAACAACTTAAAAAAAAAAATTTGAAATTGAAGAGGAGAGGGCTGAAACGCTAATCTGAAAATGAATGGCAGAGGGTTGAAAAATAGATCTTCAAAAAAAAAAATAAATAAATAAAACAAAATCACTTCATCATATCTAGGAATGGCAACGAGGCGGGGCGGGGCCGGGGATCACCCTCCTCGTCCCCGATCCCTGATGGTGGAAACTCCCCCGTCCCCGGCCTCGATCCCCGACGGGGAACCCACTACCGCCCCCACCCCCGTCCCCTAACGGGGATTGAGTTTCCCCAACCCCGAAAATCCCCGGCAAAAAAAAAAAAAAAAAAAACAGCTCCATGTCCAGAAAATGAATTCAACAACAACAACAACAGATCTAACAGATCAAAAAACATTTCATCATTTTCAACACCAATGGATCTTTATCAACATCTTCATCTTCATCTCCACCATTTTCCAGATCTGAAGAACAAAAGCAAAAAAGAGAGAGAGAGAGAGAAGGAAATCCGTGAGAGACAGAGAGAGAAGGAGATCCGTGAGAGAGAGAGAGAGAGAGAGAGACGGAGATACCTACCGTGAGAGGGAGATGAGTCGGCGGTGAAGGAGCTCTGTGGTTGTCGGAGATGAGTCGGCGGTGAGGGAGCTCTGTGGTTGTGTGTTAGAGAGTGAGAGTGAGAGAGAAAGAAGAGAGAGAGAGAGAGAGGGGGGACAAACCAGATGATGCCTCTGTATTGTTTGCTGTGCCAACTCACACACCACACACATATATATTCTGTGTTATGTTTTTGTACCAAACACACACACCACACACACACACACATATATATATAATAATATATATAAACACACAACACACATATATATTTATACATATATGAACAAAATCAGGGGGCTGAACGGGGCGGGGCCGGGGCCGGGCTGGGGTTGGAAAATGTATCCCCGTCCCCGGCTCGAACATTATCGGGGATTTATTTTTAAATACCATCCCCGGTCCGTCGGGGGTATTTTTCGGGAAAAAACCGCTCAATTCGGGATCGGGGGGTCGGGTCCCCGTCGGGTCGGGTTCAAATTGCCATCCCTAATCATATCTATAAACTCAGATATATAAATTTAGAGAAAAAAAAAAGAAAAAGAAAAAGTCGAAACAAATATATATATACATATACATATATGTATGCAAACCCTAGATCGATTACTTTAATGCGAGAAAGAGAGAGAGAGAGATCGAAATCCCTAGATCGATTAGTTTAACAAGAGAGAGAGATACCTTTTGAAAATTGACGATGAGGGAGGATCGACGGTGAGGGACGAGCGGCGATAAGGGATGATCGGTGGTGAGGGACGAGCGACGGTCATCGTGTGAGAGTGAGAGAGAGAGAGAGAGAGAGAGCAGCGTTGTGTTGTGTTTATGTTTGAGGGTATCAACCAAACCTTACACACACATATGTATATATAATAACAGGGCATAATAGTAATCTCATATCAGGGATAAACGGGGCGGGGGTCGGAGTCGGGGGCGAGGTCGGGCTGGGTCCGGGGCTGGGACATGTATCTCCATCCCCGGCCCGAATATCATCAGGGATTTAT